GTTAATGTTCTATGTAATATCAGTATTACTGATATTTGAATTCGAAAAAGGTAATAACGATATGTGGAGATTAACCTGACTTGGGTTTTGTGATTTCTTGCGAAATCATCATTTTTTTTCGGTTTTGTACAAATTGCCGTTTCCCAGTTCCCCGCAACTGCATTTTCTAATAAAAAATTTATGGCGTCAAGATCTTAACTATAATGTCTACTTTGAACTCATTTAGTGATATTTTGCAAATACTGTAATTTTGCATATGTAAACGCAATTAAGTTCAAAATCTCATTTTGTAATTTTATAGTCATCGTATTGGATCCGCCATTGTGAATTTCTAAATTTTGAGTGCGGATTCGAAATTAGTGACCCCGAACACCCATTCATACCAAATTTCAGCACAATCAGAGCATCTTCAGCATTTTCGTACGCCATATTGGATACGCCATTTTCAATTTCTTAATTTTGAGTACGGATTCGAAATAAGCGACCCCAAACACCTTGGAGTACCATATTTCAGAGCTATTGGAACACTTTTAGTATTTTGGCAACTTTTTCAGATTCCTGGCCTGGCCCATAGTGCGTTTGTGGAAATTAATTTATTTTTGATATACATCATATGCAGCAATATAATATTATCAGAATTTCAAAATTCCAGGACTGTACTGAAAAAATTCCCGTTCTTTTGCGACCAGTCTGAAAAGAGCATCCTATACATTTTTTCCTATTATTTGATATGGCATACTAAAAGTACATGAGCCACGAACACCATCCATGCATTTGATTTTTTATCACATTTTCCTCAACTTTTAAGGGTTTACTCAAATGCACAGATATACTTGAAATTTATATAGTGCATTATTTTTTTGAAATTTTTTTTTGAATCTAGATTTTGAGATATTGTTGTTGAAAGTTGTTCATTTTAACATAGATTCATATGGCGAAGATGGACGGTGCGGCTCTTTTTTTTCCCATAACTGAGAACAAAATTTAGAAATTGTGAAACAAAACTTTTCCATAGATAGTTACATAGTATTATCTTATTTTTGATGTAAAACTAATGTAAGTTTTGAACATAGTACAGCTGCATTAACTAGAAACAGAAACAAATAATTGCATTTCTGTCCGACTTGAGGATTAATGTGGCAACGTCGCAATCAGCTGACAGCAAGGAGGGAATACATTTGAAATTTTGAAAGACGATAAAAACGAAATTGATTTCAAACATATACATTTTTCCTTAATCCCATGTACATTGTTATCAACAATAAATTATCCACAACAGATGATTTTTTGTAATGTTTTTAAAAATCTAGATTAATTAAAAAAGACTAGGAAGCTGTGATATATTTATTGGAATAAAAATACAGTTGATAAATCCTTTTAATATAGTTAATGGTTTATAAAAACATCGTAAAGTTTTTTAATTACTACGTACTACTAATTCTATAATACTAGCTATTTTAGGAATGAGAACAGTTAGAGCTAATATTCTTATATGTTCTTCAGTCCGGTATTGATAGTACTACGACCATCAGGACTTATATTGTATTTTGCAGATTTTATGGATCCTAAATGGAAGGAACTATTCACTTGCCACATTGGAAAAGTTTTCTCTGTATATTTATATAAAAATAGGGGTATGTGATTTCCAATAAGACAGAATATAGAATCTATTTCTCTAGTTTCTCTAGAATCTAGTTTTACTTAATACAGAGCCTTCGTAAAATGATTACAAGCCACATGACCCGTAATTTTGTTTGGAACAGTAATTTTATTTCCTTCACGTTGGCAAACAAATTTTGGGAAAAATGAAAACAATGAGATCGAGAATACATTAAACATTGTAATTGTAATTTTTCACGAGATTTTATTCATCCAATCGGGGATGGTCATGGGCGTAACTAGGGGGTGGCAGGGGTATCCACCCCAGAAAAAACGTATACAAACTTTATATTTGTAAGTCGCTGATTGCGAGTTAGTTTTTTTTTTTTTGAGGTCTCTGTAGAGCTTGCAGCCCTAGGCCCACCCCAAGCCAAAATTGTAGCTGATGAAGCCCATGGTAACGGTTTGTTCATTATAAACGAATCATTAATATAATATCGGTGACGCTAAGATTTACGAATTTATAATTGACGGTACCAAGTGTGAAATGTTAATTACCTAAATTCGGCGGTTACGTGGCTTGTAATCATTTATGAAGGCTGTGTACATATTTCTCATATTTTTCAATAATAGTAATACAGATTTCTCTTATTAAAAAGAACATTACAGGACATTTAGTTATTTAGTTCAATAAAAAAACTAAAACGATGTTTAACAAAGCAGATAGTGAAGCCTCCGGAAAAATATACCTACAGAAAGAATTTTTCACAAATGAATAAAAGTTTTTCCCATTTAAATCCAGACTTTTTGTGTACATAATTATAGTAAGAAGTTATACGGTTATGTTTTTCAACTTTCAAATTATGTTTTTAACGTGCATATGTATAATCCCGGCAAATTAGTCCAGACAATGCCAAAAATTGGGCCTAACTCGAATTTTATGGGCTTAAAAATAAGTAAAAAATACACAGAATAAATGAATAAAAGCCGAAATTTGTGTATTTGTAGAGGTCGAGCGTTATATTGTTTATAACAAAAGAAAAAATAAGCCTCTAATCGACATGAAGTATACTTATCGATTTTGTTCCTCTGTAAATTTACTACAAGGATAGGCTTTTGCGAAAGCTAGCAATTTTTTTTACATTGCAAAATTAGCGGTGACAAAAAAAATGTGCAAAATTTTCATAATAAAAAGAACAAATTTATATAGTATTTATAAAGTCAAAAACGCGAGCGCGTATATCTTCTGCCCAAGTCACGATATCGAAATTCGGTAAAAAAGGATCGAAAGGTAATTACATTATCTCGCGTCTATGTAAATTTCAGATTTTAAAGTTGCAAAATAAAAAAGTTTACAAAAAACCAAAAAAAAAAAACCGGTAACTAGGGTCCTTATCTCGGCGAGACTACTATTACGAGCGAGGAAAAGCAAAAATTTACCATTTACATGTCTACTTTACTGTAGGATTTATGCCATTGGCTAGTGACATTGACGTAAGCAGGAAACCTGATTCCACTGTGTTCGACATTAATGATCTACAACGACCTAAATTCCATCCATTTCCAACGCCACATGTACTGACGTTGGAATTGGCTTGCATTGGAACCCGGTCTAACTCGTCATCCAAAAAATAACGTGAATTTGTTTAAAAAACAAAAAATCTTTATGCTTCCAAATCAATTTCGTCGCCTTAAAAGTAATTCCCACCCGATACAATGCACTTATGCCAACGTTTTTTCCAACTCTCGAAACAGTCTTAAAAGTCCTTTTCCGGTATGGCCTTCAATACTTTCATCGATTCGGCTCAATCGAGTCGAAACGGTGTCCACGGAATGGTCCTTTGAGTTTTTAAGGAATAGCCAGCCAAAGTCACTCGATGCTAAATCAGGCGAATACGACGGAACAATACGATTTGAATTTTTGGCGAAATTGTCTAGAATTATTAGTATTGTGTGAGCCGGTGCATTATCATGATGTAATAACGAAGAGTCGTCTGTCCGTAATTCCTGTCTTCAGCGGAACATACCATCACGCAAATGACGGGCAACACTCAAATAATATTCCTTGCCGGTTGGAAGAAATTCATAGTGCACTACGCCACGATAATCAAAGAAAACTGTCAACATGGCCTTGATTTTTTGTGACTTTGGCGTGTTTTTTTCGGTCTTGGTTCACCTTCTGCATGATATTCACTCGATTAATCTACTATTTCCAAGTCTCGTCTCCAGTAATGATGTGTTTCATGACGTTTTGGTAGTCAGAAATTATTGTTTCACATAAGTCAACGCGATGCTGTTTTTCTAAAAAGTTGAGCGTTTTTGGAACGAAACGAGATTTGAAGCGGCTAAGGCATAACACATCTTTTACAATGATATTTACCGAACCTTTTGAAAGTCAACAGTATCAACAAGGTATTTTATTGTTAATCGACAGTTTTCCAGCACAAAATCTTTGATTTGGTTATTCATCAACGCCGACGTTGATCCCGGACGCTGTTCGTCCTTAACGTCCTTCTTTAAAGTCTCTGTACCACTCGTAAACACTTTTTGCGACATAACCTCATCACTAAAGGCCTTCTGTAACATCCTCAACGTTTCCGCGGCAGAATATTCATTCCGCAAACAAAATTTTATGTAAATTTTTTGCTCAACAAAATCAGACATAGTGAAACTCGATAAAGTCACTTTTGTATATTTACAAAACACGAGTAGCTCTGTATCAATTGAATATATTGACTCGAAACTCTGCATAGATATCAAGGACATTACTACCAACCTACAAAAAAATAATTGTACACTTTCATAACACCCGCGAATTTTAAATAAGTAATTCAGCTTATTTTTTGGATACATAGTCACACGCAACCTCGTCAAAAATTTAAATATCCGTAAATAGATTTAGCTACAGGTTAAGTTACATGTTTTACTAAATTCAATACTTATTTCAGAATTTATAAATAATATACAGGGTATGTTTCATTCTAAAATAAGGCAAGTTGGCAGACGGTTCCAGAATAAGGAGGACAACATATCGACAAACTCCCGTATACAAATTTTCAGATCTTAATTTATATTTTTTCCGACATACTTCTAACCAAAAGCCGTCGTGACACACCCTGTGTGTATGTTACTTCACTAAATAGTACTTTTTGAGACTTAAATATTATCTAATTAAGACATAATCAAAATGCATAGTTAACGTTGGCTAACCCGTGTATGGCATATTAAAATAGAACCTGTGTACGGTATTTTGCAACAGAAATTTAAATTTCATTAAGGTAGATTCGTAAAATGATCAATAAACGAAGATACACCAATGAAACACGGTAGGAGAAACCTGTGGCGCGAAGGTAAATCCCTCATTTGATATGTAATAGGCAGTATGATTAGTTGTTCATAAACAGGCAAAAGCTGCACATGATAATAAATTTCGTATCTAAGTGATTCAGTGAATTACGCTTAGAATGGACTAACGTAATTAATAGTTGACTGTTGTAAAGTGTAATTGTATATCATCTACGTTTGGTTTGGACCGTTCCGTTTTGTTACGTACTTCTATATTAAATGTGTTTCTGTCTAAAACAGTAGAGACGTCAGAAATAAAAGGGGCGACGTAATAAAAAAATTAAATGTCTGCACTTTTACTACATAACTAATATATAAATTTGAATCAGAGCCAAATGGTATGGTCTCTTGAATATCTAAAAGTATCCAATCGATGTATTAAATGAATAGAATGGAAAGAACACTCGTCAATTCATCTACTGAAACACAGCTTTGTACATATTGTGGAACGACATTATGGATGTGTATAAATATATGTTCAGTGAGTGCAACACTAATTGGTAATAGTTTAACTATTTCGGCGATTTTATTTAGTAAAAAGTTGAATTCCGTAATTTCGAATTATTTTGTGTTCAGTTTAGCAGTGAGTGATTTGCTGGTTGGTGTTTCGATACCATACCATATGTGCTTTTATATTATGGCGGACTTTGGAAAAAGTGAATCTAACTGTTTGTTTCGGTTCGTTTTGACAGCTTTTGCATGTGCAACTTCTATTTGCAACTTATTTTTCATTGCAACCGACCGATACATAGCTATCATATATCCTCTACATTACAGTAGGTTCATGACCAAACGAATTGCTGTCATTTTAATAATAATCGGATGGCTAGCTTCGTTTTCTATTGCTGCTATACCGATAGTTTGGAACGATTGGCGTGAGGGAGTCAAGTGCGATGTGATAAATATACTGCCAAATAATTATTTGAAATTCATACTAACTCCTGTATTTGTATTAATATGGATTATGATGTTTATCCTGTATGCAAGAATATGTAAAGAAGCATCCGGTCACGCGAAAAGAATTCGAGGCTCTTCCAACATACAAAGCTCACTGACCCTAAAGGATACAAAATCATTTCAGGTAAAAATATAACATTATAAAAATAGTTTTATTGATTAAGAGGCAAAGAAAACTTTATGTAAAAAAAAGGTGAGCAGCCGCCACTGAGTAATAGTAATAGTGAATGACTTTTTGCACCGTTACCAATGAGTTTACAGAGACGCTAACAGATACGTAAAAGTAAGGGTTGACGCTTGCCCACAACTTCTGACGTTTTTAGGCCTCAGGATCCAGAGGTAGAGTATATCGCGATCAACGAACTCAGATCTACGCATTTATTATCATTGCTTATTACATTTATTATTGTATTATAACAAGTTAAGCAACAAACTGTGTCTTTTTGAGGCATCTTTTCTTAGATCCATAACGCTGCCCCCTGGCCGCCGAAGACCTAACTTCCCCTAAAACTATGGACAATGTCAACAATTAGACGGATCCTCTTGTCCTTTACATCTAAGGAGACATTAATTACGCGAGCTCAGTTTGGCGGAAGGGTCCGGTAAAATCTCATCAAATCTCATTTAAAGGAAGCGGGGAGTCAATATCACGTTAACTTTTTAATTCAAAGAATATATTATACATTACAGATATAACAAAATCAATATTAAATATTTTTCTACTCGTATGCCCGGATTTATAAATTTAAATATTCTATTACTAATTCTTTATAGTGCACCTTAAACGTAGTATTATTTTCCCCCTCTTATTTCATCAGTAGGCCAATCAATAGAGCATTAAATCAGTTATTTTGTGACAAAAATACTAGTAGCAAACGGACTGTGCCATCATATAAAAAGCAGTCTGTAGATACCTTCGAGCATATACTCCTAGAGGCAGCCTTCAGTGCTCAGAAAGCGCGACTGGTGTGCGACAGAGAAAGAGAATAAAAGGACTTGCTATCTCTCTCGCTCCGCGAACTGATTGGTCGGAGCTTAGGTGCAAGACGGTCATTGGCATGTAGGTGAGCACGCACCGACCAATCCAGCTCGCGGAGCGAGAGAGATAGCATGTCCTTTTATTATCCTTTCTCTCTCGCACACCAGTCGCGCTTTCTCAGCACTGATGGCTGCCTCTAGGAGTATATGCTCGAAGGTAGATACCTATATATGTTTCCTCCAATTTGCCGTTAATTAATAATAAACGCATTTTTTTAGTTTTTTACTTACAAAACCTAAACTAACGAAGCATAGTCCAGGCATTATAGACATGAAACAAATACTGTTAGAAGTTTCTCTGCGGAATATTGTTCGGAAACGTGTTGTAAACAAAATATCAAAAAATCAACTCGAGGCTAGTTGGGAAACTTTGTTTAAGAAATGGAAAAAAATACTGTTAGAAGTTTCTCTGCGGAATATTGTTCGGAAACGTGTTGTAAACAAAATATCAAAAAATCAACTCGTGGATAGTTGGGAAACTTTGTTTAAAAAATGGTCAAAGTTATGAAAAAGTGTTTTTTTTGACACGCGTAAAAAACTATTATTCATAGCGAAAAAAATGTAGGTATTAAATAAGCCTATAAAATGAGACAAGTCCGATTAAATTCCGATAATTTGTTTATGCGCAAGAGCTCAAAAATGTTCAAAAATGGCCGTTTTTTTCAATTGCTAATTAATGCAATTTTCATCGCAGACACTTGTAATTCAGGATTTTTTAGGCTTTTTACACCCCACAAGTGGTACATTAAGTGTCGTTTCTTTATTTGAACATGATTACGTAAAAACCATATTTGACCTTTCGCCGTATGTGGAAGATGTAGTATCATATATAGCGGGCTTTGTAACGTCACAGGTTATAAAAATAATTTCTTGTGACATTTACAAAAAATATATAAAGGGAAACTACTCGTCTCCTTTTAATATATAACAGTAAGAGTTCACCATGAAACACGAAGTCTCATGCATTAGCAAAATGTGGTATTTCTAGCTACTGATTGGACACGTAAAAATTTGCTTTAGCCAATTTCATCAATACATTACCCTTAATTAATAAAAATCCTCAATCAATAAAACCTTAAGTATCCATAGGGTGTAAAGATGTACATTTTTACTTATAAACAAATTTTGTCTTCTTTTTTATTTTTTGCTAGATTCATCGCTTCATGCCAGTTTGTTCCTCTTTTCTTTAAGTCTTCTGCCACTACTTGGTCCTTGATCCCATGTTTTTTATGGGTCTGCCTCGTTTCCTTTCTTTTTTTTTGTTTGCCAAATCATTTTCAGCTGTCTTTCTATTCAAATTCATAACCTATCTTCTGAAATTACAATATTGACAATGACGTTAACCGACAAACCGACCAATGGGAAAATGAATTATAGCGCGTGCGTATAATACACAAAGTGCAACACCCCCACTTTTTGGCTTCAATTCCCTTTCAAAATGCTTTGTATATGTATAGAAGTATGTGCGCCCAATGCACGATTATAACGGTTCTTTGTTAATATTTGTTTTGTATAATAATTGTAGAAATGTTTCCTATGTATGATCCAGTATGTATTTTATTGGAAACACCATTTTCCAGATGGAAAATTGAAGACAAAAAGGATTTTTTAAATTGCAAGAGACCTGTGCCTCATTATCTCGATATTGAAAAAATGGGAAGTCAAAAGACAACGTGTACCTTTTCTGTATGCCATGTTTAATTGTAAAGTCGGGCGTGTGGATAGGGTTGCCAGATCTCCGGGTTTGACCCGGAGTCTTCGAGTTTTGATGGTACATCTTCGGGCTCCGGGTTAACATGTCATTTCCCCGGGCTTTCTGGAAAAATATCGTACATTTCCCATATTCCCTAATTCCGTCTTTTTTTTTAGACATCAATTATTTCCTCCAGGTCTGTCACGAAGTAGATATTTCCTGATTACGTTCTTTTTTTCTTAGACAACGATTTCTTCGAAAACAATTTGTCTCCCAGATTTCCTGAGACCTTTTTTTTAGAGCTCATGTCTCCGAGTCTGTCATGAAATAGATCTTCTTTGGAACATACATGTCCGGTGTGCGTTAATATTCGCAGAAGTGCACAAGCCGAACTAATATTTCTATTTTTTATAAAATCTAAATGAAAATCCTTCTCACGAACGTCAGTTTTTCGGTAATATTGCAAATTCAACTAAAAAATTCCAGATTTATTTAAAGCCGTTTGACCTTGAAAATTTGAAAATTTTTGTCAGATGCGCTTTTTTTTCTCTTTAGTCAACCAATGAATATGCGTCACCTAGTCTCAATGTCACGAACCGACACTGGGACACGGGTTAACGATACCAAAAAAATTAAGAATGCCATAAATATAAAAATATGTTTATGGTGCTCAAATAATCAAATTTAAACGAAATGCGCTGTGCGAACTTAAACATATGTAGATCTATGTTTTATTGAACTTTGAATTTCAGATATCAAAATTAAATTAGTATAACAGTTATTACAGCAATAATTGAATGTATCTGAAGGACTAAATATACACTTATATGCAGCGCATGTCTGTAATGAGTTTCATTACAAAGCTGGCTAGAATGGAAAAGAAATATAATAAATCCTTAAAGATAAACAAATATGTAATGGTAAACATTGCGTTGCTGCGATCCATAGAACTTGCTCTTCCCGCGCGACTTCGTTCTAGATTTTTGTATTTTCTGCATAGATGTTTTACTTATGGCATTTGGTTTTATTAAAACTGTATCACTTAAATTGTTATCCTTTATCCTTAATTATGTAATTTTTAATAAAAAGTGGTCTAAATCTTAGTAACTTAGCTACATTTAAACATACAGGCGTTCAGCTCATGACGACTTTACATAAAACGTATAATATAAATCTCAAACCTTCTGAAATGTTCTATATTTGGAAATGTGATGTAATATGAAATTATTATTATCATTAGTGGGCCTACTAAATACAGAACATCCCATATGATAAAAAAATATTAAATGTAAATCTTAAGGCACATAAACAATTCTCTGCTAAATAACACTTTTTCGTATCTAGTACAATGTCGGATACCGAATTTTATCAACAAAATTTGAAAAATGTTTATCCCAAGAAATATTTGCTCAAGTATGTTGCCAAATAATAAAAATACTTTAATTTTTTAAACTTCTAAAATGTGGGGACGGTAATTAAAAAAATATAATATTATCATACGAACCATAAATAACGTTTAACAATAATAATTCTATTATAGTAAAAATGTTCATAACAGGTTAGACTGGTAAACTTTTTACTGATACTAGGCTAACATTAAGGCTGGCGTTTTATAGACAAGAAATCGCGCTTTTAGTAAGAATGATAGAATACGTAGGTCCATTTAGGAAGTGACGAGGACTAACGCTAAACTAGAGCAACTTCCCTTATTTTTTTGTGATTAATGCATGTGTTAATAGTTTCCTAAAAGCATTCTGCGGGGTGTGATTATGTTTATAATATCGTACGTTATATTCTCTATATTCAACAGGCAAAATTCAGGAAACGTAAGATAAACATACGAGGTAAAAATATGCTTTATTTTCCTTATTTTGAATATATTGTCAGTTGTCTTATACCATGAAGAAAACTTATATAACTGGTACAGTGAAGATATATTGTATCCAACTTGCTTTCTAAAATGTTCGCCAAAAAATTGTGCATGTATTGTACATTTTGTAGAGGAAAATCTAATTTATCGTTTTTTGATATGAAAATTTCCCGGTTTTTATACAAGGTGACCAAAAAAAAGGTGGAAATATGAAGTTCAGAAAATGTAGAAAACTCAAAAATTTTAAATGGGAACCCTCAATTTTTTAACATATCGCATTCTGCACTAAAATTGACTAACTTTGTTAAAATTTCCCTATACCTAAACCCAGTCGTTTTCATTTTATTTACGAATAACCATTTCCCTTTTCCTAAAATGATGTTTCCTTTTGTTTCGCATATTTTAAGTTGGCCGTGACAGGTAAGTAGCAATCAACATGTCAACTGCCACAAGTTTATAATAATAATTGTCAAATTTATTTTAATAAATGTTCAAAATGTTTTTCTTCACCTTCTAAACATTTTTCACACCTTCGGATTAGTTCCTTGAGGATCGCTGCTCTAATAGAATCCGGTGATGCTATTTTATTTGGGAGATTAAAAAATAGTGTAAGTATATAGTACAAAGGAAAATTGTATGCATAGAGTAAGGCAAGCATTTAAGAATCTATCACCGGATTATATTTGATCAGCGACCCACAAGGAACTAATCCGAATGTGTGAAAAATGTTTAGAAGTTGAAGGAAGACATTTTGAACATTTATTAAAATAAATTTGACAATTATAAACTTGTGACAGCTGTCATGTTGATTATTACTTACCTGTCACGGCCAACCTAAAATGTGCGACAAATACTAAAAGTATCTTTTGTACGTAAAATTGAATGGAGAATAGGTATGTTTAGTAAATAATACAGTTAGACACAAAAAAGTTTAGTCAAAAATACAATTAGACACAAAAAAGTTACGGTTATTTAAATCCAGGTATATCAGTGTATGTTAAACAAAAAACTAAGTAAATATTTGAGTTTCTCATCATCAATACTCCCAGTTTCCCGAATTTCGTCAAATTGCCATGTTATTAAACAAAAATATAATCAAAATACCAAACAAAAAAATTTTTTTGAACGCTCTGTATCTCAACAACCAAGCCGTTTGTAGACCCATGTTTAAATGAACTTCTTATCTTAAAATTAGTCAAAGATTCACCCTTTAAAGTTTGACAAATACTTAATACCCTGTATATTTGCTTTTATTTGATTAATATAAATTAAATTTAGTTAATGTTTTTATAAGGTTGATTGGAAGAGGCCATAACCTGAATTCTGCCTTTTTGCATATTTTCAAGGTGCGTTATTATTATTTATGTTAAATATTACTTATTGGTAGACCTCTAAATGTTATTTTGCAGAACTAAATTCAAAAAGTTAGATGCTGACATTTGATTAGGTAGAACTAAGTTGGTCTAAATCATAAGTATTTAATATAACTACAAATTTACAAAAACTATATAAGAATTCTTACTGACCTCTACATTTTATGTAAAAAATATTTAACTTCATTTTTAGCCAAAACTCCTATATACCAAATTTAATTGAAATATCTTAAAATATAACGAATTATCTAAAAAAAGTGATGAATTATCTTAAAAAAATATTACTTGGTCTAAAAAAATACTTTAAGGGCTTACAATTTTTTAAGGAAGCAAAATATACTAAAGTAATTTGTTTTAAATCAGTTTGTAATAATCCAATGAATCCTTGAAGGATGGCCCATATTTTACCGGTCACCCTGTATATTGAATGACCTTGTTTCGCATAAGAATGTGTGGAATAGGCAATAAATGGACTTATTTCTTAAGTAAATCATTTTCTGTCACATCTGACTACACCCTATTAGACAAGGCGAAAACCTCGTATTCATGGGAGAAATTAGACTCGATTTTTTTGCATATTCAGATTCGTGAGATGATGCCGGCCGGAAATCTGGCGCCCATTTGTTTAAACAAATTGTAAAAATTGGTTTATTTACTCCGGATTTTTTTTAGATTTTTTGGCACATTATAAACAAAAAAGTTCCTATGCACTATGTCTCTAAAATTGATAGTTTTAAAGTTATAAACCATTTAAGTTGCTAAAAATGCGAAAATGACGATTTTCAACGGTTAAAAATTGTTATTTTTGATGTTGCCAGGTATTTAAATTAGAGTTTAAACATCCCCCTACAAGATGCTGAAGAGTTTTTGGGACTCGCATTATTCTAAAGCCTTGTTTTTTAATTGTTAATAAAGCGCTATGAGCCGCACGCGCGCCTCTCATGCGCGGATTCGCTATTTCGTCTAACGGTCTTTGAATTTAGCATTCTAAGTAGGGAGCAGCATCTTGTAGGGAGATGTTTAAACTCTAATTTAGGTACCTGGCAACATCAAAAATAACAATTTTTAACCCGGAAATTGGCCGTTGAAAATCGTCATTTTCGCATTTTTAGCAACTTAAATTGTTTATAACTTTAAAACTATCAATTTTACAGGCATAGTGCATAGGAACATTTTTGTTTATAATGTGCTAAAAAAACCTAAACAAAATTTTTCCGGAGTGAAAAAACCAATTTTTACAATTTGTTTAAAAAAAGTTTGTTTAAACAATTGGGCAACATATTTCCGGCCGGCATCATCTTAATTCATGTTAAGGACCATCTCACGAATCTGAATATGCAAAAAAATCGAGTCGAAAAATTTCTCCCACGAATGCGAGGTTTTCCCGTCTATATATACATTTTAAATGTTGTGTAAAATAATAAATAAAAGAACAATAATTTTTTCAATTACATGAATTCACATTTCCAAAAAAAAAATTAAGATAGTTCCACATCAATTATTTATAGAAGAGTTTTTTTTACCAGCCTGTAAAACTTAGGATGCCGAATTACCACTGCAATGTCACTACTGAATTCACAATAGGTCGATTACAATTTTTCTTTTATTTTTAAAGCAGTTGTCACATTTTTTTTTGGGTAGCTTCTTTCATAATAAATATTTTTCTAGTTTAATTTCTTTTCCAGGTTATGCTTTTGATACTGGGATGTTTCACGGTCTGCTGGTTGCCCTACTTCGTGCTGACATTATACGCCAAAACAACAAGGCGCAAATTTGCTACACTCTACGAAATATTTTTAAATTTAGCGGTAGCAAATTCAAGTATGAATCCACTTATTTATGCCTGGAAGAACAAAAACTTTCGAAATGCTTTCATATATTTAGTAAAATGTCAAAAAATAAATGGATTAGGCAGCTCCAATTTTGTGACAAATCATATACCTAGTAAGAAGAACTCCGTTAATGGGATATCAAATCTTGTGTGCCAAAAAGAAGATATTTTGCATAGCGAAATGATTTTAGAAACACGATTCTCTCATGTGCAGCATATTACTCTTAATGAAAGTGCCAGCAACGGTACCTCCGAAATAATAAGCAAAACAATGTTCAGGACTTTATAATTAAAATTTATATAAAAAATAAATGAAAAATGCCATAAATGCCTTCTGAAGATTTAGATATTATATATAGGTATTTCAAAATATAAAATAAACAAGTAATATGATAATGTTGTTTTTCTAATATAAAAGCTGATTTATGGTCAGGATTTGTACACGCTGTTTCATGAGAAACTCTGCAGAATGATTGTTTATAAATGCCGATCCTATTTAACTTTCCTATTTTTCATTTAAGAAAGAAATAAAATACAACAAAAATTGTATATAAAGGTTTTCCAGATAGTACGAAAAATTATACAGCCGAATAAACAAACATCACATGCAATTTTTGTATTTCACATTTCTTTCTACAAGGAAAAATAATAAAGTTAACTGGGAGTGCCATTGATACAACAAAGACAAAGACAAACAAAAGTTGTCTTTTCATGCGACATATCCGTACTATTTTTGCCTCCTGATCACGAATCCGGTATCAGAATTGAGCTATGAAATCATAGGAATTTCCTAACCCCAAAAAAACAGGTCAAAAATAGCAAAAATTTAGGAAAAGGTGCTAGGAAAAATACAAAAAAAATTTTGTTCTATATTCAAATGTTTCTTTATATGGTTAAAATACCGCCGAACGTGAATCCGCGGTTGTAGCCGCTAGACATGACAATCCCCTCCTCAGGCAAGCCGTTGACTACGTACCCGACGTGACCGACAAACACAAAAGACCTAGACACCAACTTTTTGACCCTGGGTGACCACCCCAACGACACCCCACCCCCCTGCCCGCTAACCTTTTCTGTTTCAGAGACAGCCAGGATCAAGAAACGAAGACAACGACACACACACACACATACACACCCCCCATACCCTCCTTACCCCTCCCCTCCCGCGCTAGCCTAAGGGCCACCTTAGAAAAGCGCATCCCAGGCTGCAAAGCCGCACTACCCTACCCAACCATACCACACATAAATATGACACAACCTAGACACCAACTTTTTGACCCTGGGTCCCAACGACATCCCCCTCCGGCCCGCTAACCTTTTCTGTTTCAGAGACCGCCAGAATCAAGAAACGAAGACAACGACACACACATACACACCCCCATACCCTCCTTACCACGCCCCTCCCGCGCTAGCCACCTTAGCAAAGCGCATCCCAGGCTGCATAGCCGCACTACCCTACCCAACCGTAAACATGACACCACCCCCGGGGTTTACACAGACGAGCCGGCGAAGCAAGAAGAGCGCCAGAAGAAAGGGCCCTAGCCGCGGGGCCCAGCCAGGACAAAAGGAGGTCACACAAAGCGCCTACACCGGCCGCATTTGCGGTCGGGGTAGACGACGGATGGGGCCCACCTACGATGGCTGTCCAGGCCTACACGAGATGAGGCAGGATAAAGAGGGATAATCCCCCTCGATCCCAAATCATTGAGGCCAATTTCTAGCCATGGAATAATGGCGGCGGATCCGAGGTCAATTTTGCAAAATTCAAGGTGGCGGATTCAAGATGATCGACCAAATTTTCAAAAAATAACAGATTCGCGCCAAATTTGGCATTTTGAATAAACATTAACAATAAACATTTGAATATAGAAAAATTTTTTTTGTTTTTTCCTAGCACCTTTTTCTGAATTTTTACTATTTTTGACCCGTTTTTTGACGTTAGGAAATGCCTGTGATGTGATAGCTCAATTCTGTCATCGGATTCGTGATCAGAAGGCAAAAATACTACGGATAACATATGTCGCATGAAAAGTGTGTGTGGTTGTGTAATTAATCGAATCATATACGTCGTAATAGCAGAGTAGAGCAATCACGGTAAGTATGGAACAAGTGTTTTAGGTCAGAGGATCCAACAATCTTCAATTTGCAGAGCTAGGGAATGCATAACATTAAAACTGACATATAAAATTGTGTAATAAAAATCATATCAAACAAAAATAGTTTTTTTCTCGAAAACAGTTCATTTTATTGATACCAACAAAGAATGTCTCCTTTTAGTTTAAAGTCCAAGCTATCTAAAAATATTATTTTTGCACTTTTATCGTAAAGGATATAAAAAATTGACATTATTGTACTACAGGTAGTCCATCCCTGGCAAACCAAATAAGCCAAATGTTTTCATGGTCAATTTTTAAGAAGTCTTATCTATCTGTTGTCCATCGTATTAAAAAATTATTAAATTACATTTTAAGTTATTAAAAAAAAAAATCGATTTTCAGGGGCGTCCTTTAAGGATCTGGATCTTCGTAGAAGGGCCCTCTAGGGAAAATTTTTATAGAACTTGTCATGTTATTTTAACGTCCCCTGTATAAATCCGAGAGGTTACCCACATATTCTGGGTATACACCCAGTATACCCAGAATTAAAATAAATTCAATCAATGTTTCAGTAAGAAAGAAGTATGTGGACTAATGTCCTGACCAGCATTGAATACACATGTAATTTAATACTTGTAACACTTTGTTTTTATATTTCACCACCACTTAAGAGAGAGATTATATATTTTATTTATAGGCGGGTAAGTTAAACTAGTATCATTTCAAATTGATAGAAAACCTTTGAAAGACAATTAATAATAAGTAATATCCCCTCTGTCCCATAATAATAGTAGCAAGTGAATATTTAAACATGAATTATAATTCATGCATTAATAATTATTAATGCAGCTGTAAGTTTGTTGTAGCACAAAATTGCAAAGCCTTCGATCAAAATCAGTAGTTTATGACCTCTGTCAGTTGTTTTGACACATCTTTCAATTTTTAGATTAACCATATTACAAATTATAAGTATTTTTCTAATTTCATCCGCTGACTGAAATCAATTATTTTATTTCAGTTCAATATCAAACCATTGTAAAAGTAAGATGAAAAGAAGAGAGTTTCAAAGATCGAGTTGCAATTGTCCAGTTCTTGCATGCATCAAAAGAAAAAGGAAAATTTGCAGAAAGGTACAATTATGTTAGCTGCAAAACAATTTAAGTGCAGCAGAATGATAATATCAAGAATTTGGAAACATGTTTCCATAAATAATTTTCTTGTAGAATCTTATGCTACAAAACAGACATAAATGCAGATTATCCAGAAAAACTTGAAAAACTAAAGATATATTACTCTTAACAAAAGAAGTACCATAAGATAAACAGCTCACACTAACGAAGTTTCCAAATCTACATTATTTCGAATTATGAAAAAAGGAAAATTCATAAAACGAGTTTCAAGCACCATCAAACCATTTCTTACAGAAAAGAATAAGATCGCTTAAAATTTTGTCTGTTAAAAGTACTTCCTGGCAGAAAATTTATGAACTTTTTGAAGGAAAAATTGGCATATGGCCATTCCTTACGTAAAATACAGCACAACGAAACAGTAAGAACCCAACAAAAAGAACACTTATTACAAAGCCCATAGAATCTATTACTAATAAAGAAACATGGAAAATGGTTTTTGAAAATATACGGCCAACAATTCGCAAAAAATGGACAAGAGGATCAATATATTGCCTCCAATTTATTCAACAAGATTATTTATTTATTTATTTATTTATTTATTTATTTATTTATCAATACAATATCCAACGAGCGATAAAGCCCAGTTACAGTTACAAAAGTTAAAAAACACTAAAAAGAAAAAAAAATAACAGTCACTAATTAAAAACAGACAATAGACAAAACTAAAGTACAATAAAAGCCACAAAATAAAATCAGTTGCGTACATTATAAACCTGCTTAATACAACTGATGGTAGAACAGAATAAATCTAACCGTGATTCAACTTCTAGGTAGCTGGCACACATCTGATGAACAGGCGCTGCTTTGTACAAATTGGTTCGACCTTTTTTTAATTCCAAAAGATGCCTATTTCTAGCATTCACTCGAGGAACATGAAAATCTACTAGCCTCAACAAGTTCTCACATTTTATTAAATTATTGAGCAATTTAAACAAAAATATAACAGAATACATTTTTCGGCGTTCTGCGAGACTGCACATGTTGAAGCATTCGAAAAATGCCTCCTGCGGAAAGCCCCTCGGCGGGTAGTGACCATCAAGCGCGAACACCGCTAGTTTAAAAAATCGACGTTGAACTCTTTCTAAGCATGACTCATGAATAGAATAAATAGGAGTCCAAACCAAAGACGCATACTCCAGTCTAGATCTGACCAGTGCACCGTATAGCAGTTTAAAAGTGTTAGGATTCCGAAAACCCGCCATATTCCGCACGACAAAACCCAGGTTCTTGTAGGCACATTTAACTATAAAATCCATATGCTGCCTGAAAGAAAGTTTTGGATCGAAATAGACTCCTAGGTCTTTAATAACATTTGGCCGAACTAGGCTGGACCCATGTAATCGGTAGTCATACGAAATTTGCCTCAACTGCCGACTGAAGGACATGACATTGCATTTTGCCACATTAAGAGGTAATCTATTGTCAGCGCACCAGGAGTTTACCAAATCCAAATTTCTCTGCAGATTACGTGCATCACGTTCATTGGCTATGGGACAAAAACATAATAATAATGAAAAACCACATCTGAAAGATAATGATCCGTTACTATTAGAGGAGGAATTTCGTGATAGATAGAAAATACAAATGAAATGACAGCCACCAAATATATAGAAACAGTAAACATAGCCTTTGATAATATTTCTCCGGAAATACTGGAAAATACATTTCTGTCACTTTAATAAGTTATGATGGAAGCAATGAAGAACGATGGCTCCAATAATTTTAAGCTCATGCATATAGAGAAAGTAAAGCTTTGCAGCCAAGGGAACCTACCTACAAGTTTAAAATGCAGAAATTAAATTATTGAAAAATCCAGAAACTATCTGAACCGTCGAATTAAAAATTAATAGTAATATTTTTAATTTATTGTTTAATTTAATCAATTTTTTTGATAATAAAGATTGCGTTCTATATTTATTTTATTTTGCTATCATTATTGAAACAGAGAGTAATTAATAATAATAATAATAATAATAATAATAATAATAGGTAATACATATTTTTTAAATTTATTCAACTTTAATGTCAAATTCAAATGAACGACTAAAGCAACAGCAGCCACATGCTGAGTAACACATAATTCCATGAAATGCAGTGTATATTGTTACACATCTGGAGTTGCTTCGTTTGGTGAAAATTATTTATTATTTAAAATGTAATAAGTAATAGAAACTGGTGAAATTGATTAAAAAAAAAAAACAAGAAAAAATTAAAAAACCCCGACATCCTGTCATCTCAGAAATGACATGAACGGACACATGTAGAGAGAAACTTTTCTCAATATGTTTTATAGAGAAAAGCATTCACGTAGATAAATATTATTATTTTATAAAATTTTGTTATAATCAACATTTTGTTTTATTATTTGTTTATAGTCGAAAATGTTTTAAATTTTCAAAAAATCGTTTTTTTTTTCTTAAAAGGTAGTTTGTAGCTTCCAGAATATGAGGCAAAAGGTTTTATACATGAAAAAAAATTTAAACGCGTTTTTCTCGAAACACGCTTTTCAAAACGTAACGCATCATAACTACAACAATTTTCAATACCTTCTTTTAAAATTTTAACCACATATTTAAAGTTAATTTAAACGATTGTTATAAACAAATATAACAGAACGTTTTTTCGTAAAAAATTTAGCGTTTTACTTCAAACATGCTTCAGAATGGCTGCAGTGCCGCCATTTTAAAATATTTTTTAATGAAAAAATTTTGCTGTACACTTAGATACATGGCTAATAACATACTTAAACAGTTTCTTTCTATTACTTTTCCTTCTATTAAAAAAAACACACGTTACAGTGGTGTAACCCCTTAAGGACGGGATTTTGTACAAAAAATATCGCCCAGTGTGAGTCACGAAACGGGACCCCGGCAAATGCTGCTCTAGCGGCCAACGCTTCAAGGTGTGTTTTTTAACCGAACGACAAACAAGTCTAATAATTTACGCTGGACCGATTTTCCAGGAAGGGCTCCAATTTGTGTACATATAATCTTATAAAGAAAGAGAGTAAAGATTTTATTAATCAGTAATAGATTATCAAGGACAATAATTTTTTTTTTATTAAGTAGGCAATAATTTTTAGTTAATAAGCTTAAACAATCTTATAATTACTATTCCTTCATTATAAAAGCAGAAATACGATTTTTAAAATTACATGTAGTTTCTTCTTCAAATGTGACCTTAAAACAAGTATAACATGGAATAGTCAACAGTCTAATGTTTATATTTTCCCATTAACAATCCGATAATGTAAATTAACTGCTATTTTCAGTAAAAATATATACCTAACCTGAATTATTTTTTTTACTTTGGCGAGTCGTATTAACTTAAAAAACACTGCTTAATTACTAAAATATATAGAAATTTACTACTAATTACGTTTGGAGAATAATATGTATAGGCATAAAATATATGTAAAATATTATTGTATCTATTTAGTCCATTGAAATGGAGGCTGAACCTCCATTTTCACAGCACAAGAAGTAGATGGATAGATGGGTGGATGGGCAGGTTTTATAGGTGGTACAGGTGGACGGATAAATATGTGTATTCATGCATGAACGACTGGATAGAAAGATGTATGAATTCATAAATGGGTGGGTGGATAAAAAGATGGATCCAGAACTCTGCAACATGAATTATGCCATGAAAATGGCATTTTTAAGCATTTTGATCTCTTCTCTGTTTTTGAATGAAATTGGACCAGCTTGTCTGACTCTATGATGATAAATTGGAATTAAACGAGTGAAAAATCATACGTCTAGTGAGCTGGTAGAATAATTTGATTTTTTATAACTTCCGTCGATCGTAAATCACGTTTTTTGTGAATTTTGAATTTTCCCGAAAACTCAGACCCGTTGGGACAAAACTGAAGGCAAATTCGGATTCAGCAAAAAAAATGCATGGAAATACATGGGTCTAAATACCAGATCTGATACTTTTTTTGTGGGGCTGTGTTATTTATACTGCATACTTGCTCAACATTATTTAACTGATAAATAAAATTTACTCACCTCTACTCCAGTAACTCCAAGTGCATCTCTAATATTTGGCGTCAGTCTAAAAGGAACCTTCTCTGGAACTCGTAAAGTTTTGCCCTTCTCAAAACAAACATTATAATCAATATGAACTACATCGCCACTCGTAAGATCCACTAATACATTATCCAAATGTCTATCTCCCAGTCCGATAATATAGCCGATCATACTCATTACAGCCACCGAATAAGAATACCGTTTCACCACTTGCCACCAAATGTTAGCAGTGATAGAGTTGCACCACAACTCTTTCGCTAATAAATCACTAGGGGTTTCACTCATCAATTCAGAGAGAACATGTTTTAAAATGCTCAAAGGCCATTCTTTGCGATTTTCAATATTTTTTACACCGTGTTCCTTCAGTAAAGGGTTCAGTTTATTGTAAAATAGTTCGGAGGGACGTAAAACGCTAGGTGTTATATTTGCTGATGTTTTAGTGCTCGGTTTAGCCATTTCTCTATGCTGCCAACGTTTATATAAAGAAAACACAGGTGTTGTTCCATCCACCCAGGATATTAAACCGGACCTAGGTCCTAGCGGAATTACCGAATAGTGCCGAGCTCTATATAAATTGTGACCAGCCGGATCGGTGTTTTGGGCCATCATTGTATTTGCAATGCTTAAAAATTGCATAATTCTTTCGTCTAAATGCAAATCTTCCAATCCTTTGAATAAATAAGTGTAAGTTTGTCCGTCGCATCCATAAAACACTAATTTTTTAGGTTTGGTTTTTGTTGGCAAGATTGATACTACATTTGATACATGGGATATAGTAATATTTTTTTTCGCTGTTGTTGCTAAACCAGGCATGGCTATTAAAGTATTTTTTAGTAAATGTAGTACCGGACTAATATCTTGCATCTTTAAAGAGTAAGAGGCCCTTTTGTGGAATTTTTGTTGAAATTTCTTTTGCAACGACCTTAAAGGTTCTAGTGATTCCTGCGGATTTTCTGGATGGTCAGGATTTTTCAATTTGTTTATAACGTCTTTGACATCTTCTAAATACTTGTCTTGAAATTGCTTCTCGTGAGGTGTTTCGGCTTCAGCACTTGTTACGTCCAACAGTTGTTCCAAAACAAATATTATGGGTTTAATTATGATACGATGTTTCTCTATGATAAGGGACGCTTTTTCATCTTTACTTAAACTTACATTCTCATTAACTTTCTCGATTTCGTATTCTAACTGTTGCTGCCTTTTGCTGATTTCCGATTGGTGCTGTGCTAAAGTTCCAAGCCACAACTCGTCCCAAAGTAAAGTAATCCGTCTCAGTTCTTTAACTAGTGTCTGCACTTGACTGATGGTTTCAGGATCCTGCTTGCTTAACGTATCTACCATTGTTTTAAAACATGTCTGTAGAGTATTCGCGGATTCTTCGTTATCGCTTTCGTAATTGTTATCTTCGTCGTCACCGTTAAGCTCATTATCGTCGTTGCATTCATTGTTTTGAGACAAACAATCCTTAGGCAGGCTAATTTCAGAGAAATCAAATTTGAGACCTCCTTCCAACGCACCCACCACGGCCGGAAAAGTGATAAGATGTGGAGCATCCTCGGCTACTCTACAAAGTAAATCTGATACTCGGTGTCTCACATAACTTTCTGGATGATTTAATCTTGAGAACAGTTGGGGAATAATAACTTTCCAAGGTTGTGTAGGGGTAGTTTTTAAACCGTCTTCTAAAATACTTTGCAACTCGAGAGCGTATTTCACTATTAGCCTTAAAAGTCTTAAAGTGATCGTTATGGTATTGCATTCAGTGCTCTTTGTGATGTTCTCCGAGTTTAACACTAAATGTAAATACTTAAAATAAGCTTCGGCGCTTAAAGCATAATAATGATATATCCTTCTCTGGGTGCTTCTCCATATTTGTATTAGATTCTGTAACTGTTCTTCTCTCGCATTTCGTAGAACACTAACGCACTGCAACTGATTCTGTATCATTTCTGAAGTATTTATCTCATTGGAATCGATATCTTCCTCATCTATTATAGACCTCGTTTGGGACAATATCAAAAATATTTTTGTTAAATCCTCCTCGGATGTCTCTTTAGGCAGATTTTTTTTTATTTCAAGGCAATGTTCTTCGCTGAGATTGTTTTTAATGTTGGAACTGTGGTCAACAATTTTCTTTCCCCATCGGTAACACCAAGTTCCAAAAGCATTCCAGCTCTTTGCTAATGCGCCGCAGTGGTGAACGCTAAAGTGTAAAAGTTTACCGATAGCCGTCTCGTTCATAGGAATTACATTTGAGACTGTGTTTTCGATCATACCAATTTCGGGCAAAACCATAATTAATTTCCCCAAAGGACTTGACATTTCAGTTAATGAAATATTTTCATTGGATTGCAACCAGTTTGCTAGTTTCAGAAGAATTTTGCTACTGATTTTTCGTAACTCCATGATACCATATAATTCCGCATACTTAGATATGGCTGTGGAAGCGGCAGCGCATAAATTAAACGTGTAAGTGTGATCTTCTTCATAGGAATAGGATAATTTGATCACTTCGGCGGTGGCTCTTGCTACGTCCACTCCCCAAACGTTAATTTCAGATAACTGACTGATAAAAGACCTTGAGAAATTATTTAAATCAGTTATGTCGGAAAATGTAACGTTCTTGTCTTTAAAAAATCTATGAATATGTTTAGCGGCCATTTTAAAGTTCTTTTCCTTTCTTGCTCTTTTTATAATATCCAGTCGTAAGTTACTACAAAAAATGTTAAACCCTTGATTTTGAATTTTTCCAAAGTACTCAGACCACCAAAGTATCTTTCTAAGTATGCAGGAATCTATTTTTTGTAATTCGTTTTCAAAGTTTTCTGATACTAGAAACGCAGTATGAGCTAAATTATCCTGTGCGATGTGTTTCAATCCATTGGCGACGTACTGCAATAAAGTATAATTTTGTAAAAACTCTGATGGAGAAAAACTGATATTGTCTTGGATCGATTTCTGTATTACGGCAACACTGTTATCAAGTCTATGAATACAGTCTTTATCTTTCTTTAAAGCCAAACCTATTGCGACATTATATAGATTAGTTTCAGTTCTTAACAAATTTTCATAAATACTCCAAGATTTTTCTTCGTTTCTGTAAGTCCAAGTCGATAAATTGTCGAAAGCTTGATCGGTCTCCACATTAAACAGAATTTTGTTACAATCCCAATCCGTAGTATTGAACCAATATTTCCTACCATTCTCCATATTAGTTTCAGTTTCCTCTGTATACCACTCAAATAGATCAACCCAGTTGCTTAATTCCTTATAACATATTATTATTTGATCTTTAATAAAATTCTGTGTATCTATGTCCAGTGTGGTGTATTCTTCAACAGATTCCGATTTAGAGTCATCTTCGTTGGTAACAACTTCTGGATTTGCCGATATTTTATGTAAAATTTTCTTGTAACCCTCTACGGCCAGCTCGTACTTCTTTGATGCTTGTTCTGCAGCACATTTTATCCAGGAATATCTCTTTCCAGTAATTATTTTACACCAAGCATAAAGCCCGTATAAAGATTCCGCTTCTTTCAGATGTAAAAACGCCACCGTAACAAACATGGCCACTCTTTCAAATTCTATTTCTTTACATTTTCCTAATGTCACATAATCTTTCAGCAAATATTGACCGTGTCTCAAAGCAATATTTATATCTCCGGAATGTAACGCTACGTGCATTACAACCATTCGAATTCGTGAGAACCATTCATTACAAGTATTGGTGTTGGCGATAAAAAAAGAACGTACAGCTTTGGTAGCTGGAGGTATTGCCACTGCACATCCTTCCGAAGCATTGTAGATTGATTTTTCTAGATTGTCGACGAATTTTAGTAATAATTTAACTCTATTGACGTTAGTTTTGATGTTGTCAATCTGACCATCGCTTTTTTTTAGAGTGACCAACTCGTTGCCTAATTGATTTAGGGATCCTTCGATCTTCATAAAAGTTTCATTGGGTTTCCCGAGTGGCGTTCGTAATTTATAGTTAACGCAAAATTGTGCGGCTTCCAAGGTCAACCAACTCTCCAAAACTTGTCGAGAATTCGTAGCTAACTCATAAAATAATTCCATATTCATTTGAGAATCCGATTCCACGGCCCAGCAACAGGAAAAGAGGTCTTCCATCCAGTTGTCGCTAGTTTCTTCATTTTTTAATAAGTAATGCATGAACGTTTTGAACTGAAGAGGATACATTTCCCCATCGATAGATCCATTTAAGTGAGAGTGCTGGGCTAAGTAGACCATGTAACTGTTGTAATCGTTTAAGTACGTGCTTTTAAGTTTTAAATCGTAAATGGAATTGGTTCTATTCAGTTCAACGATGGCGATATCCCAAGGTATATTGGAGCACAATTTGGTGTAGCACTGCTTTATGACATCCTTATTCGAGTTCATGTGCAATTTACACAAATCGCTTACATTCGATAGAAAAATGTTACTCCACGAAAGTTGTTTATTAGAGAGTAGCTTATCCAGATTATCGTAAACGGCTAGGGTAACATTTGCATTAAAATGATAGCCACACTTCACCAACACATCGGCAACTTTTAGGAATCTTTCCTTTACATACAAGTTTTCCAAATAATTCTCTGAATTAACCAAAATGTCATTAAGCCACTGCAGTAAAAGAATCTTAACTTCGCAAGACGTTTCCGTATTGAGGGTATTATAAATAACGTCCAATATTATGGCAAAATTTTCAGAGTTAGGCGACGTATTGGGAACATCATTAATATTCAGCCCTTCAGTTAGTGCAAATCTGTTGAGCATGTTTGGTAATTCTTGTTTATTGTTGACTAAACTGCTGTTGGATATAAAATGGTTGTAACACTTGCAGTGGGAATACAGCAAGAACAATAAACAGTATTGTAGGCATGGTGCAGTTCTTGCTAAAATAGGATCGTACGGTTGAAGATTCACTCCGAATAATTCCAATATGCTTGGTTTCAAAGCCCACATCACGATAATAGAACTGGCATTTGCTAGCTGAGACAAGCATCTCAACAGAAAAAGAATAATAAATTCAATCTGTGTCGAGCATTCTATTTTGAAATCACTGAATGGGTTATTTTGGGTGAATGGTTTGATGTTTGTAACAATTTGTTTGTACAATACTTCGAGATCTCCTAAAACGTATTTATAAGCTTCTTGTAAGAGAGATACATTCTTTAAATTTAATAAAGCCTGGTATACACAAATAACTGATTCTTGTATATTTTTAAACGGGGACGAACGTAATTTAACAATGTCCGATTTTGGTCCGATTAATTTGTCTATTAATTCTATTGGCAAATTAGCAGACAATTCTTTGATAATTTTTGAAATCATCAAAAGTAATGAAATGATTGTGGAGTCGGATAAATCGTGTATCATCAACATTTCCTGATCGATTAATTTATAAATTAAATTGCAAATACTTTGTGGTTTATTATCCAAATATCCAATTAAAATTGATATGCAATCATTTCCGGCAATTGTTAGATTGTCTGACAAATAAGTTTCCAAGGCATCCGTAATGGTTTTTATAATGCGTGTCAGACAAGTAATGATAAAATCAAGTTTTACGTGCTTGTTGTTCGTGGGATGAAAAGATGTTCCTAGACATTTCAAAACAGTATTCATAGCGAGAATCAAAACTGTAACGTGATCAACTGTACTTATTTCTCCACTTTCCGTTAAAAGAGTAGCATAATTGGTAATGTCTTCCAAAAAGTTTTCGATGAGTTGAACGGAAAATTCCAAATTGTATTTAAAGTGATGAGATATTTTCTGAAGACTTTTTGATATGAACTCAATGTTACAAAGAGGTTGAGTGTGATCTACGTGCCATCCAAACAGTAAATCAATAGTATCTCGAAACTGATCATAAAATTCTGTAGGATACATTTCTACGAGGGTAACTAAAATATCTAAAATAGTTTTAAACACTTCTGCGTTCTCTGTTGTTTCGATAGCCCCAACTAAATTATTGATAAAATTTTCTACATGGCTCTCTAAAACCTGTTTCTTTCTTTCCAGCGTTAAAGTTTCCTTAAATGATTTCATCAGTAAAATTTGTATTTCTTCATATGCATTGTTCATTTTCGTAAATAGCCAATGTTGATACCTTTCAAAATCATTCTCTTGTCCCATTATGTAACCCATACGGCCCAAGGCTCTTGCTGCTTGTTGTTTAGCCAAGGGACCCGGTGACACATGCAAAATCTCAAACATAGACTCTCCCAAAATGTGAAAGGCTTTACGAACATAGTGTGCATTGTCAGGCAGCAACAAAACTTCCAATAATTTTTTCGAAATAACCAATGAATTTTCTTGATCAGTTTCAATATTCAATCTACGAAGTAGTTTAGATATCCTTGTATCCTCTGGCAGATTTAATTTGATGTCACTTTTTTTCTCCGATTCATAAAATTTGCCACGATGTCCACCTGAAACAGCAAATAATACAATCAGATAAATTTATTCATCCATTCTAGTTTTTTCATTAAATAATACTACACGACATCAATAAAACATCAAATTATATATGCATTTTCTTTTAATTAAAAAAAAATCTATTCGTACTAAACAGGGTGTAAGAAGTATGACCGCCATAATCAGCATGAGATAAAGTAATAATAAATGAATAAAAAAAGTTGTATATTATAGGGGCGTAAGATTAACAGTTTTCAAAATACAGCGAGTATTAATATTGGGGAGTTTTATCACAACGTGACAACAGCGCTAAACGGCTGATGTACACCTCGTGTGCACGCGGCAGACTTGTCCTACAGAAAAAATGTAAGCAACTATTACTGTGAAACATTTAGTAAATTTCAAGACAATTGTTTTCCAGTTTTAAATAAATAAAACAAAATGTATCGATTTTGCAGTACGAAGATAGTGTTAAATTTTAGCTCGAATTTTAGTAATTATGAATCTCTTAAAACAGGAACTTAACTTTTAATCAAATTATGCATTTGAAAAGTATGTAATTAAAGTACCCAAAGATTCAAGTCATCCAAATAATCATACGTATTAAAAATAATTTAAGGGCTTACTAAAAAGCAAAACTCAGTAATTTTTAAACGCACAAGTACAAAACAAACTACAACATATGCTCAAAATGTCCACCACCATTCTCGATGCAAGCACGACGCCTTTGAATCTAATTTTCTCGCACTCGCTGGAAAACACCTCAAGAAAAGGAAATAGTGGTATGCAAAAAACACTCCGACACGGTCCAATTCCAGATACCAACACCAACTGAATTGCGTATTGCTGGACAGCATAGTACCTTGTGTTAATCGCAGTGCCGTTGTCACTTTGCTTGATATGAATTTTATTGAATTTTAAATTTATTACCATGGTAATTATTTTTTAGAATTAAGGAGGTTTATCTCATTTGGAATTGACAAATATTCATAAAAAAATTAATAAGCTTATTAATATGAAGAAAATCCTCAAAAAAAAAATATAACTAGTTTGGATACCTAAGAGACGAGATATTAATAAAATAATTTTTCACGATTTAGTATGAAGTCTTATGAGAATGCAGATTTTTTTTGGTCTTTCCACTTAGAATGTGTAACAATTGACGATCAGTTTCCACAGCAACTTCTATAAATAGGAAACCGATATCTAACGAACCGTATGACAGTTCGTAGAAATCGATTAGGTACTTGTAAGATACATAATTTATAATAATTCTCCTTCAAACTGCTGTCGTTGACTAACTTAACCTCCATATGAATATAATACAATGTCAATGTCTAAAGCAGACGCGATTTCGAGCGAGCTCGCAAAAACGTGCAATTATTGTGGTAAAAAAGTTAGTAAAAAAGTAATATGCACAAGTTGCAATGAGATTTTTCATAGCAGTTGTGCAAAACGTAAAATGTGCTGTGAAAATCAAGTTTTGAAGTTTGATAACTGCGTGGAAGATGAAAATAACTGGGACCCAAATGATTTACTGCAAAACAAAGTAGGAACCCCGAGTCAATCTGGGAGGGTAGAGGTATCTAATTTAATTATTGAAAATAATATGCTTCGGAAACTGTTACAGGAAGCGGAAAGCAAACACAAAATATTAGAAGCAAATATCACTTTATTACATGAGAATAAGAAATTACTTGAAGAAAAAGTTGCCCTGTTAGAAAAAGGAGAAAAACCTTATCAACTTTCAAATAAAAAAAGCTATGTAGATAAAACAAAATCAATTGTAAACAAGAAACAACAATCATCAGTGACTGATAAACAAACAGTAGAGACAATACAGGGTGGCTCAACCACATCTGAAACAACAAAAGATAAATTAGAAAATCTAGAATCTTTGGAAGAATCACAAAGAAAAATAGCAGAACGGCTAATAAATATAAATGAAGACATAGATGAAGAAGTTCGTGAAGAAGACTTTCAAAAAGTAAACCATAAAAAATTTAGAAAACGACCAGAAAATAAGTTATATGGTCAGGGACAAACCCAAAACGAAGTTTTTGCTGTTGGTAAAAAAGTGTGGTTATACTTATATCGCAATAAAAGGCACATAACAGAAACCGATATTAAAGGTTTTATAATTAAGCAGGAGCCATATAAGAACGCACAGGTCATAATAAAAGAATTACCGACTAGAGAAAACCAAACTAAATGTTTCATGTTCGGAATAGACTGGGACTTCAAAGAGGAAATATATAGTCCAATGTCATGGCCACAACATGTAGGATACAAAAGATTTGACTTTAAGAAGTATCGAGAATACCAGCAAAAAATACGGTCTGAAGGCAGACACGCGGATTTTGTATAGATTTCACACTTAGAGAAGACCCAGACGAACAAAGTAGGAAGACAAGAAACATAGAAGGGCAGCAGCAAATATCTCAGAGGATTGGTATATTTCATCAAAATGTGCAATCCCTGGGAAATTCAATTGATAAACTTGAATCGTTCTTTTTAGTACATAGTGATTGTAAAATAGTGACGATTACAGAACACTGGAAATCCAGGGAACAGCTGAGTCAGCTGGGTATCCAGAACTTCCAACTGATATCAGCGTTTTGTAGAGGAGAAAACAAACATGGTGGTGTCGCAATTTACGCCCATAAGAGTGTAGAAGCTAGGGAAATATCAAAACTAACTAAGCTGTCAATAATTAATGTTTTTGAGGTAACAGGGAGTGAATTTACAATTGGGAATCATAAATTAGTGGTAGTGTCGATATATAGACCAGGCAATGGATCAATAAATCAATTCCTAAAAAGAATAGAACAAGTGCTATCATTGGTTTTCAATGAAGACAAGTTAGTTTTTATCACAGGTGATTTAAATATAGATATCTTAGCGGATTCTAAGGAAAAAAGTGAATTGTTAAACTTGATAGAATCTTTCGATTTTAAACATGTAATAAATGAACCTACTCGCATTTCGTATAACACAAAAAGCTGTTTAGATAATATTATAACTAATTATACAGGCACCTTTTCAACCTTAGTTGCAGAACTTCATTCCTCCGACCATACAGCACAGTTGATTACATTTGATTTGGATAAGTGCGAGACATTTCCTCAAGGCATATATAAAAGATACTTTAATGAAGAGAATATTACAAAATTTATATCAAATATCGAAAATACTTCTTGGGAAGAGATATATAATGTAAGTCCGGATCAAGTGGATGATCAGTGGAATATATTTATGAGTAGATACTTAGAAAGTTTTAACTATTGTTTTCCATTAAAATATGTCAGCCTAAAAAATACAAATAGAAATAAAAATAATTATAAGCACAACATAAATTCCGAAATTACTGATCTTAAAAAACAACTTGATGTATGGTTGGTATTAGCAAATAATAACGATTTGTTTAAGGAACAATATAAAAATCTTAAAAAAAAGTATGATGAATGTTTAAGAATAAATAAGAAGAACTCTTTTGATAACAGGATAATGGAATCGGATAATAAAAGTAAATGTTTGTGGTCTATCTGCAATGAGGTAACAGGAAAGGTGTCTAAAAAACATTGCTTTATCAAAGGGAATTCTCAAACTGTAGCTAATGACTATAATCACTTTTTATTGGACTTAATCCCTAATTTATTGTCAAACCATCAAAGTAAAGATTTTAAACCGATTATTGATATTAATAATAAGTCTATGTTCCTAACACCGGTCATGGGATCGGAGATTGTGGAATTAGCCACAAAAATAAAAAACAAATTTAGTAGCGGGGAAGATAATATTCCAGCAAATATAATGAAAAAAAGCCTTGGCGCAGTGAAGGAAATTTTGTCCTACATAATAAATAACACATTCAAATTTGGGATAGTGCCTCATCAATTAAAGTTGTCGATCATTAAACCAATTTTTAAAAATAAAGGTGATCCGGAATTAATGGAGAATTATAGACCCATCAGTTTGCTTCCTGCATTTTCAAAAGTTTTTGAACTAGCAATGGTTCGTAGGCTTACAAGTTTTATGAATAATTGCAATTTATTCAGTCATAGTCAGTCAGCATGGCTATAGACAGGGTAAATCTATAAATACAGCTATCTATAATTTTACAAATGACATCATTAATTTTTTCGAGAGTAAATGTATAGCTTTGGGTGTGTTTTTAGACTTAGCTAAAGCCTATGATTGTTTAAATCATGACCTTCTCATAGTAAAATTAGAAAGATACGGCATTAGAGGTCCGGCTCTGAAATGGATTGTCTCCTATTTATCAAACCGAGAGCAAAAAGTATGCATAAATCATAACGGCGGTGTGTTTAGCTCCGAAAAGTTGAAGATCAATATAGGAATCCCGCAGGGGAGTATCATAGGTCCACTATTGTTTATTATATATTTAAATGATATAGCAAAAGTACCCACAAATTCAAATCAGAAAATTATTAATTATGTGGACGACACAAATTTACTGGTAGGGGCAGACACCATGCCAGAAATCATAACACAAAGTGAGGTACTTTTACAATTAACAAAGGACTGGCTTTCAAAGAATGGTCTCATCATGAATAATGATAAAACTCAACTAGTACTTTTTTCATCAAGTTACTGGCAAATAAACAGACCTAACAATATCATACTGGACAATCAGATGGCAGAATTAGCAAATAGTACAAAATTTCTAGGACTGCATCTAGATGAACACTTAAATTGGAAAAAACATATAGATGAACTTGCTGCTAAATTAAGTAAAGTAATATATGGAATCAGGGTAATTAGTAAATATGTAAATAGTACATCTACAAAAATCATTTACTTTGGTAGTTTCGAATCTATTTGTAAATATGGAATTATGTTTTGGGGTAATAGCACTGACATACAGAAAATTTTTGTCATTCAAAAAAGAATTATAAGAATTATTAATAATATGTCTTACATCCAATCTTGTAGATCGGTATTTAGGAATAGCAAAATAATGACTATATCGGCTCTGTATATTTTTGAGTGC